TCCCTGGCTGACTTGGGCAGGATCCCTGGCTGGCTGACTTGGGCAGGATCCCTGGCTGACTTGGGCAGGATCCCTGGCTGACTTGGGCAGGATCCCTGGCTGACTTGGGGCAGGATCCCTGGCTGACTTGAGCAGGATCCCTGGCTGACTTGGGGCAGGAGCCTTGCCTGGCTGACTGGAGCAGGAGCCCTGGCCGACTTGAGCAGGGACACTGCCTCTGTCCCCAGGCCCCGGAGGAGCAACCCCAGCACAGGACTTGGAAGCTCACCTGCCACCTTCAGCTCCACTATGGCTTTCTCATAGAAGTTGCCATCCTGGAAATAGCACAGGTACTTTCCATTGTCAGAGGCTCTGACTCTGTGTATTCGGAGCGCAGCCTTCCCTGCAGCGAGGCCGTCTCTCAGAATGGAGGTTCTGCCTCGGTACTCGGCTATCTGTCTGTCTTGCACTTGCTTTCCGTCTGCGTACACGAACACCACCTGCCTCAGGCTGGACCTCACCCACCTCAGCTCCATGGTCTCTGCGCTCRTCGCTGGGGACAGGTGACAGGGCAGATCAGCATCTTCACCCACCACAGCCACGACGGGCCCAGAGGGTCCTATCACAGCAAACTGAGCTGGTCAGCAAAAGAAGGAAACTCCATCAGAGGGTATCAGAGTGGGGGCCACCGCAGCACCAGTGCTGCTCAGGCAGGGAAGGCAGGGGTGAAGGTCCAGCAGCGGGACAGTCCTCACTGAGGCGTTGTCTCTTAATAGCTGTGAATCTTCAATATGGGATGGAACTTCCAGGTCTGAGAAGGAGTCAGAAGTTCTAAGTGGCATTAATGGGCAACTGTTAGCTTCAGACACACAGAGAGAGCATCTGTCATTCCTTACCTGCCCAAGGAGTGGGCCACTGGACCAAGACAAGGCAGGTGAGGCAGAGCACGGGGAGGGCTGGGGAACGCCATGTATCCATCTGGGCTGCATGTCAAGAGATGGCAGATGCAGGGGCGGAAACCATGGCCTGGAGAAGATACAGGATTCTTGTTGAACCTGCACTTACCCAGAGCTAACTCCAACCTTGAGACCCAATTTCCTCCTCTGCTAAAAGTGCCTGCCCTGGAGTCTCTTAACCTTTCAGTTCCAACTTAGAAAATCACCAGCGTGTATATGTTAAATGTACGCGCTACCCATCAGGAAAACATGCTGAGTCTCGTGGCTTCCCCTGCTACAGTCAGGCCCACCTCCATGTCATGCTCTGATTAAGGCAGGCCCTCCTCGCCAGCCTCCCTGCTTCCACTGGTGCCCACTGTGGGTTTGCCACTGAATAGGCCTTGATTCTGCTTGCTCTCCCAGCTGCCCTATGAAGAGCCCCAGAGAGCCACTCAGTTCCACTTTGATCACACCACATAGGAATGAGGACATAGGTCTAGCACCCTCTGTCTCCCTCTCTCCTGGAGCTGAGACAGCAGGGAGTCCTGGAAAAATGGCTTGAGGCTGTGCCCAGCTTGCARCACATGCCCTAGAACCCAACCCATGGCCAGCACCAAGGTCAAATTTCAGCTCAGAAGACCTAACCCTGGGGAGGCTCKGGAGTCCTTCCAGGGCTGGACCACTGCCTATAATCCCTATCCACTGATCCGGAGAGCTAGGCACAGGAGCAGGGCTCGACGTGCTTTCACCCAGTCATTTCACAAATATGTGCCAGGCACCCAGTATGTGCCAAGCCCCCTACGTCTACTGTCAGGGACCAAAAAAGAGATAGACAAGTGTGGGGGGCAGCACRTCCCTGATATCTCTGCTGGCCCTCCTCTCCCACCAGGCCTGAAGGCTCCATCTGCTGAGATTTGGAAGAGGTTTGAGTGTACCCTCCCCTCCAGGGTTCGTACGTTGAAAGTTCATTTCCATTATGAGGAAGTAAGCTATGGACATTTAGTCTGATTACAGTGTTTAGAAGGTGGAGCCTTCGGGGAATGATTAGGATTAGATGATGTCACCAGGGTGGAGCCCMCATGATGGAATCCAGTTGGCTTTAAGAAGAGGGAGAGAGAAGGTGCCACTCTTGCCATGTGATGCCCTGCACCACCTTGGGAGTCTTCCAGCAAGAAAGCCTCATCAGAACCTTCAGGGCTGTGAGCTAGATAAACTTTTCTTTACAAAGTATCCTGGCTCAGCTATTTTGTTATACTCATGAAAAAGACCAATGCACCCTCAGATAAAACACAAGCATTCCACACATCTTCTGTTCCCCAAAACAACTCTGTGTTGCAAGAGAGGTTAGGATAATTTTTTTTTTTTTTTAGTCCCTGAGCTAAAGATTCTCTGCAGTCCTCAGAGTTTTCTTTCTTTCATTTTTGTAAGAACATTTATTGTTTGTTTGTTTGTTTTTTATTATAATCAATTTTGAAAATAATTTCTAATGGTAATCATGTAACCATGTACTTTGTTAGTGGGAACATAAATATTTTGGGYAGCATATTGGCCATATAGAGCAAGGACATCAAAATGTTGTATACTTTCATGCCAAAATTTCACTTACAAAAATTACTCTTAAAGAAAAGATTAGGTATTAAACAGAAACATGTGTTTTTTTTTTGTTTTAAATACCAGATATTGAAGCTGATCAGGGGCACTCAACCACTGAGCCACATCCCCAGCCCTATGTTGTATTTTTAATTTATAGACAGGGTCTCATTGAGTTGCTTAGTGCCTCGCTTTTGCTGAGGCTGGTTTTGAACTCACAATCCTCCTTACAGGTGTGCACCACTGCACCCAGCCTCCAAATTTATGTTTAAGGCAGTCAAAAAGTAAAATATATCTACAATAGCAAAATGTGGATACAATTTAAATATCACAAAAAATTAATTATGTATGACTTATCAAAGTGCGTTCTATGGGGGCTGGGGCTGTGGCTCAGTGGTAGAGCACTTGCCCAGCACATGTGAGGCACTGGATTTGATCCTCAGCACCACATAAAAGATAAACAAATAAAGGTATTGTGTCCGTTTATAACTAAAAATATTTTTTAAAAGTGCATTTTATGTATGTATAACTAATTAAAACAAGTTTAAAAATATTTAAAGTATTGCAAATAAATTAAGGGCTAAGTAAACAACGGCACGTTTATACAATGCAATAGCTTGCAGCCCATCGCAAAATACACTTTAGGTTTTGGAGGAATTAAGAATGAAAAGAAAAATAGACACTTCTCACAGTAGATACCAAATAAGGTGTAATGTATGAATCTAATGTTAAAACCATAAGTAAAACTCTTCATCAAAAACACGATTCCTGATGCCTGAATGCAAATCTCTTGGACGGTTGCATCATGAATTGTTGATCCACTTCCCAGTCCTGTCTGGATGTTGATTACAACTTTTTATACTATGATCAGTTCTATAGTGAACCCCTTTATAAATAAATCTGCGAGGCCTACCTCTTTATCTAAGAGATTCTAAAGAATCCYACCTAAGGGGACACCTCTGATTTGAGGCCTTGAGGGCCTCGCCCAGTTTCTGAGGCTGGCTTTGAACTTGAGATCCTCCTGTCTCAGACTCCTCCTGGGATTAGGCGCGCCCTGCGGCGCCCAGCCTCTCACACCTTCTTAGGAAGGTGCACCTGAGTCTCCTCATGCAGTCGCCCCCTGCCCTCTCCCAGCCCCGGCCTCCGCAGGTCCTGGGCCGACACCGTGGCCTCTGGCCGCGCAGCTGCTGGGTCCGGTCTCTGTGGACTCCTCTGTAGGCCTCCGGCATTTCAGCCCCCGCTCCTTCCTGGCTCCCCTCCACCACCCCACCTACCTCTTGGCTCTCGGGCTGAAAACCACAGCCTCCAGAGTCCGCAATGCGCCGTCCTTTCCGCAGGCGAAGAAAGCAGAGAGGAAGGAGCCGGGTGTCTGCGCCCCGGGAGGACTCGGTTTGGGTTGGCTCTGCCGTGGTGCTTGTCATCTGTTGCTGGGCGGCGGCCTCGGGCGGAGGTTGGAATTCAAACCGAAACTCTGCAGGCTGCTCCCTGCCAAGGCACCCCGCAGCGGGACTCCCACGTGCGGTCCGCTCGGTTACCTCCGTGCGCCCTGCGTGGGATTAGTGCTCCATCCCTCCAGATCCACCCGGATGCCTTTTCTATCGTAGCGACATATCAGCAGGACCGAGTGGGAACCCAGATTTGTCGGTGTGTAAAGGGAGAGAAATGAATGTCACCTGAAACCTTGCTGTGCTAGGTCCCCTCCGCTGGCTTACAGAGGGAGCCTGGAGGAGATGGCCTTAACTGCAGAGCCCCRGGGAGTCTGAATGCAGGGAAAGCCAGACTCCTTTTACCCGTCAAAGCGCCTCCGACATCCACAGCTAGGCGCTGTCACTAGGAAATGCAGTTTGCTGGCTCCCAGAGACGAGCCGCCGGTGACCTGGTGACCTCTGGCCGAGCTTGACATTTTCAGGAAATCCTTATCTGGGTGCTTCCCAGCGGCAGGTCCTGGTTCGTGCCGACCTGGATTTTCATGTGCATTTGTTTCCCACTCTAGCAGCACATTGCTTATTGGCTGAGGTTAGGCTCTAGACCGGCCCCTGAGAATATTGTGGAGCAGGCAGGTTCTATCTAGGGCCTCTCTAGACACTTCCTTTGGGTTGCAAGACAGTGATCCAAGTCCTCAGCCATCAGATCTGCCCTGGGCTGAAGGAATGTGCTCATCACAGCAGTTTGAATTTGGATTCCGGGGCTGAGATGACAGGCTGCTTGTGCAATACCCCTTCCATCCTTTTTTCTTAGACTCGATTTTCTTGGTTACTGCAGTATGTCCTATCCTCTTGCAGACAGGGGATACCAACAGAGTATGGAGCCAGTGGTGTGTAGGTGGAAATAGTCGGGTTGCGCTTCAACCAGAGAGTCTTTTAGGAAAGAAAGGCTGGAACAGCTGGGAGATCTTTATACTCTCCTGACTGCCTTTTCCCTTTCTTCTTCCCTCAGCCTGGAATATGGACTTTAATGCTAGTGGTGCAGCATCCATCTTGCAACCATGAGGAAAACTTAAGGATGGAAGCCACACGCTGAGACCACAGAATGAAGATAGAAGCAGGCTGGGGCATCTCTGAGCTGCCGGAGCAGCCCTGGACTGCAACTCTTTGAATGAGCCCTTGTTTTGTGTAAGTCACTAGTAGTTCCTGTCTTTGTTATCAGCAGAAAAACACAATTCTTCCCTCCCCAGTTTTTCCCCTGCAATAGTGTATCATACATATAGCAAAGTACAAAGAATTTTCAGTGAATACCATAGAGCTTCTACCTACGTTTACAATCAACGTTTTACTGAACTTGCTTATGTTATTGTAATTCATCCCTCTCAATCATCGCCATCTGTCCTTCAATCCTTATTTACTTATTTAAAAATTCACAGTCTATCAGGACCTTCCTGCTTGAAGGCGTATCAGTAGGAGTGACACAACCCTCTCCTGCCTGGCGCATTCAAGTTACTTTGACACAGAAGCAGCCTGCATTCTGAGTTCAGATAAGCACTCTGGACACCAAAGCTCATATCTCTGAACCTTACTGCTTCAGAGAAATGACTCTGAGTCCACTTCTTGCCCAGTAGTTTACACAGGGCCCTGGGGATAAGGTGCTAGGAGATAAGTGGATGTGAAATGAGGCAGCAGAAATCTTCATTAGTTCAATCATTGAAGCATCTACCGTGTAATAGACCCCGGGCACTGAAGTTCAGGATTGGTGAGGAGAGGTGAGACAATGGAGTGGTTCAGAGCACAGCCTGAAGCCAGGTTGCTGTGTGACCTTAGGCCGGTTACTTAACCTCCCAATGCCTTAGTGTGCCTAGCTGTCAAACAGGGATAACAGTAGTACCTGACTTTCTGGGTTGCTGTCACGAGAATGAAATGAGGTGACATTGGCGATTTTCTTACAGCGGTGCCTTACACAGAGTGAGTGATCAGAATTGCTAAGCGCAATGTGGACTTGGTCCTTCTCAGGGTCGAGAGCTTGGGGTTTTTCCTTGAGGGGAGCGAGATGCTGAAGGAACTCAAGACCTCAGTGTGGGCTTCTACTACAGACTTTGGAAGAGGAGCCTAACAGAGACCAAAAGTATGTGGATCCTACAGACAGTGCTGCCTGTGGGAAATGGATGGGTTTGTACACACATTGAACAGCAGTTCAAGTCCCTTTTGTCCAACAATCGCTCAGTCAAGAATTACCCTAATGAAAATGAAATCTGGGGCTGGGATGTGGCTCAAGCGGTAGCGCGCTCGCCTGGCATGCGTGCGGCCCGGGTTCGATCCTCAGCACCACATACCAACAAAGATGTTGTGTCCGCCGAGAACTAAAAAATAAATATTAAAAATTCTCTCTCTCTATCTCTCTCTCTCCTCTCTCACTCTCTCTTTAAAAAAAAAAAAAAGAAAATGAAATCTGGAAATTTATTCTGTGGAAGTGATTAGAACAATGTACAATGATTTAGGTTCAAGGATGTTTATAGCAGCATTATTGGTAAGAAGTAACAAAGAAAATCATCTTGGTCATATCGGTGTTAAAGTAAAAGAAGCGCATCATGGAATGATATAGATGGAGCAAGGTCCAACTTTTCAGGAGAAAAAGTGTTAAGTTACAAAAATGTGTTCTCAACTGTTGTCGACACAGATTTTTCTAAAGCAGGAAGTGACTATGAGAGGAGAAGTGAGGAATCTGCACACTGGAAGTCAATCCTTCAAAAATCTGGGGTGACACATGATGGCTCATGCTTGAAATCGCTGGGCAGAGGACGTACCAGCTTCTCGGGGTGAAGTGAGGGAGCGGGAYGGATGGACAGCAGGCGTAGCCCAGCCCCCACCTGGAGGAGTGACTCTGCTCCGTGAGCTTAATTTAGTCTCTCCCTAGGTTTTCTGTGGGTCAAAATGCTTGTATGAAAAGACTGAGAAAGAGTCAGCCCCACCCAGAGCCCACTGCCCGTGGCTCTTGTTAGAAACAGGCCCTGCCTGGGCTTCCGCCCTTCTGTCTCTTCTGGCCCTCCAGCCCGTCTTCCTCAGCAGCTCCGGATGGGCTTCCCCTGTGTCCCTGTCTGGCTTCCGGGTGGGAGGGCAGCGGCTGATGGGCCTTCCCGACAACAGCGTCATTCCTTGGCCCTCAGCCCCACTCAGCCCTGGAACAGCATGCCCACCCCAGAGCTCACCCAGTGGCCCTGTTAGGCCAGACTCCTGGGACCCCAATAGACCTCCAGGAGCCGAGTCCAATGCAATCACACAAGAGTCTTTATTGCAAGCTGGAGCCTGGACTCACAACTGTTCCCGATGCAGCCGTCCCAGGGAGTGAGTCCCGGTCCTTTGTTCAGTGAGATTTTATAGGTTTTGGGGGAATACTCTATGCGTCACTACATCACACAGCAAATCATTCCACTCAGTGGGAAAATCAAACAACAATTCTTAACATGGATTAGCACATTCACTGGCGGAACAAGTTGGGTAGGGGWGATTAGTTAGTACAAGAGGGGGTTCCTTTGAACTGATTGGTTTAGGCCACGAGGGGTGTACATGCTGAACTCCATGGTTTCCCAACATGTTATCAACCACCATAAACTACTGGGGGGTCATCTGGCATCCCAGGTATCTCCCTGTCTCATGCTGATTGGTGGTTGCTAGGGGGTTGCTATGGATCCTCACCTAGCCTGAGTCAGGGACACCTGGTCCAGCAGACCTCTCCTGTTATTTGCAGACAAACAACTCAGCAGGTGGGTATGTGCCTGGGAGTGCTCTGTGGGTTTTTTCCCAAGGACCACRGTCACGCCCCCTTCCTTAGGACAGCCTTGAGGTAGAAGCTGCTGTTATTCATTTATTTTTCAAAAAATAGTCACATCAGTTTCTCAGCCCCACTCCGGGGGACAGGAGAGGAGGGGCGCGTGTGCAGGAAGGTCCCAGCAGGGCTGCCCAGGGCCCTGTGAAGCTCAGGGCAGAGCTGTCGGGGGAGTCAGCTGAGAGGGGCCAGGTGCCCGGAGCCTCAGTGACAGAGGGTCAGAGGGCAGGGGTGATAGAACCGGAGGCTGAAGTAGGGCTGCAGGGAGCTGGAGAAGGCGGCCTGGGGGAAGGGTAATGTGGGACCCACCTCCCCGTTATAGAAGGAGACACTCCCAGACTCGTGGTCCAGGAAGATCCCCACCCGGGTAGGGGGGCAGTTCAGGGGGATGGGGGCATGGGACGGCAGGAGAGGGCCTGATGCTTACTGGCACACCGTCCCAGGGCCCGGAATCCGCTTAAGGTGACTCTTGGATTCCCCACGCCTTTCCACAACTTTCCTCACAAACTCCAAGCCCCCAGAAAGTCCGGTCCTCCACCTCACTTCCCAGTATTGTCTCCCTGAAGAGAAGCRCTCCTGGCCCAGCACACCAGGGTCACATAGAAACCCCCAGGGTTCTAGGGGCGCGCCGCCTGCCCGGGAACTTCACTCTGCTTCACACTCGGGCTAGACTGTGTCTGGGTCCCGAGTCACGGCAGCTGCGGAGGGAAGAGGGGAGGAGCTGGTGCCAGCCGCTCTGCATCTCAGGGCCCTGGAGGACTGGGGAAGAGGGCAGAAGAGCTGACCTAACCCATGGATTCCCTCCCTCCCGCTCAGAACAGCTGCAGTGAGAAGGCTCTCAAATGTCCCCTGACTCAAAGAGCCACTGGGGGAGCTCAGACGCAGGTATTCCAGGTCTCCCAGCTTCCCCTGGGAGAAGGGAAGCTGCCCAGGCATCCCCTCCATGCTGGCTCACCCCCTGCAGCATTTGGTACAAAACACTCACTGCCACTCACTACTGCCTCATCTTTCTTCTCTACTGGACCAGGACCCCAGATGGCAGAGACAAAGGTTATCTTTGATCCTCTCGGAGCCAGGCACGACAGTGCCAGTCTCTGAAGACTTGTTCCTCAGCCCTGGCTCCTTCCCCGGGGGCACAGGGCTGGCTGAGGTCTCCCAGATCCCAGGCCCAGCCCTGGTCTTTCCTCTGCACCTCCCTGGTCCTTGCTGGCTGAGTGCCGAGGAGACCCCCGCAGGCCACAGGTGCACAGGTGTCACTTTGCACCAGACCCATCCTGGACTCT